CGGATGCCCGGGCTGAGCCGCCAGCCTCCTGCTCCTGTGCCCGCGTCTCCTTGCAGGTTCCTTTCTCTGGCAAGGCTTCTCGAAGGCTTCTCACCACATGGGCCGGCTCAGAAATGCCAAGATCCACGTGGAGAGGGCTGTCAAGGTCGGAGGGGGCCCGAGGGTGTGTGTGTGCGTGCATGCACGTGTATGTGTGTACACAAGTGTTGTACATGTGTATGCATATGTGTGTGTGTTGGTTCCTGTAGTTCACAGACTTATTTTCTAACATCCTTAAGCCACAAAACCCCTGCACCTGTGTGAGTGCATGCATGTATGTATGCATACAAGTTTGTGTACATGTGTATGCATGTGTGTGTGTTAGTTCCTCTTTCACAGACTTACAACATCCTTAAACCACAAAACCTCTGTACCCCATACCCTTCTCAAGCACCTCCCCACCTTGACTCTTCCTCTGCTTTGGTCCCTACCTTGCTGTCCCGTTCCCTTGGGAAACAGAGATGGATGGCTTCAACATGTCCAGCGACCCTTTGCTTGAGTACGTCGTGTCATTCTGCACTGCCACACACTGGCTTCCTCCTGGCTTTCCTCCTCCCTCCCCAGCTGGGCTGTTTTTCAGCTGCCTCTGAAGGTTCTTGGAATATTGGTGGTCCCAGAGCCCCCCATCTCTCTTGTGGGCTTCTGAGTCCAGTCAGTGTGCTGTCCCCGGGTCAGCCGCACCCACTTCCACACTGCGACAGCCTGCTCTTCACACTCATCCCGCTAAAACCATACTCCAATTTGCCTTCCTACCTCTGTTACTCAAGTCAGAAATCTTGTCTAATCCCATCAGTAAAACTATCATCTCTGTCTCCAAAACCAAATCTTAACCCTGGTGCCTTCTCCCCATCTCCGCCCTGTACACCAGCATGTTGTAACCACCTTCATTCTAGCTATTGTGATGGTTTTCCTGTGCAAACCACAACAGCTTTCTGTGTGTGTGTGTGTGCACGCACGCGCATGCCAGTGTGTGTGTGCCAGCGCTTGGTCTTAAAACTCAGGGTCTGGGCACTGGCACTGAGCCTTTTCACTCAAAGCTGGTGCTCTAAGCCAGGCACCAGTGGCTCACGCCTGTAATCCTAGCTACTCGAGGCTGAGATCTGAGGATCACGGTTCAAAGCCAGCCTAGCCAGAAATGTCCATGCTTTTATCTCCAATAAACCACTAGAAAAGTGGAAGTGGCACTGTGGCTCAAGCAGTAGAGTGCTCGCCTTGAGCTGAAGAGCTGAGGGACAGCACCCAGGCCCAGAGTTCAAGTCTCAGACAGAAAAAAAAAAAAAGGCTCCACTCTGGCTTTTTGGTGTTAATTGGAGATGAGTCTCAAAAGACTTTCCTACCCAGGTTGGCTTTGAACTGTGATCCTCAGATCTCAGGCTTCTGAGAAGCTAGGGTTACAGGTGTGAGCCATGGGTTTCTGGTCTCGGAATAGCTTTCAAGTGTTCTGCCACCACTTGTTCCCTACTGTCTATTCTCTATTTAGCAGCAAGCTAGACTTACAATCCTCCAACTACTGACTGCCTCCCCTAGGCCTTGCTGCTTTGTGCAACTCCTTACATAAAACCCAAGTCCAAGTGTCAGGACTGCAGTACCCTGCATAAGCTCATTGTCCCCATTCTGCTCCGTCTGGCCACCTTTCTCCTCCTGACCTCCATCCAACCTCTGGACCTTTGCACATGATAATTCCTTCTGCCTGTACTGCCTGCTTCACCAGTCTGCCTTGTGATTGGCACTTAGACAGTGCTAACTGAACAAGTCTCCATCTCTTGTTTTACAGCAGAAGAAGATATTCAT